AGGTATAGATGGGTTACCTTGTGAATTCTATGTGAAGCATTGGAGTGTGTTGAAGGATTTTTTAGTGAACCTGATGAATGTGATGAAAAGTGAGGGGAGGATGGGTGAGTTGCAGCGTACTGCAGTAGTAGTATTGATTCCAAAAGGGGAAGGCCCTACTACAGTGCAGAACTACAGGGCGTTGTCGTTGTGTGCTGATTATAAGATATTCGCAAAAATCTTTGGGAACAGGCTGAAGTGCGTGATAGAGTTGTTGCGAGAGGTCAGTATGGGGTGCCTGGAAGGACGATGTATGAGGGACATGGAATAATAAAAGATTTTGTGGAAAGTATGGAGGGGGAGAATGAAATGGGGGGAGGTGTCTTAGCATTGGATTGGCAGGCTGCGTATGATTGCGTAGAACGGAAGGCACTGTGGCATATCTTACAGAGGCAGGGTTTTGGGGAAGAGATGGTAAGTTGGATTGAGACTTTGTATAATAGGTGTGCAGGTGAATGGGAAATTGGGTGAGTGGGTTTCAATGGGTAGAGGCATAAGGCAGGGTTGTCCTCTCTCTCAACTGTTGTTTGCTTGTATACAGGACCCTTTTTATAGGGCAGTGGGGCGATGTTTAGGGGTGGTACGTGGTGTGGAGAATGGTGGGATGGGAATAATAGGGTATGTGGATGATACAACAATTCTAATGAGCAGGGAGGAAAGTTTACATGAGGTGGAGGATGTAATTGGTGGTTTTGAAGGTGTTACAGGTTTAAAAGTGAATGTGGTGAAATCGAAATTATTGGTCTTAGGGAATTGGGTAGGGAGGGCGCGATGGGAAACAGCTGTGCGTTGGTGTGTGGTGGATAGACTAAAGGTGTGTGGGATAATTTATATGGGGAATGCCGGGGAGGCACGGATGATTAATTCTGGGAGGGCAGTGGATAGGTTAAATGTTTAGAGACCCTTGCATTTGACGATACATCAACGTGTAATAGTGGTGAATGTGATGTTATATAGTATGGTCTGGCATGTGGCAGCAGTATATCCGTTGGCAGGACCGGACATAACTAGAATGCTAAAAAAGGTTTTTCGATATATATGGGGTTCTGGGTGTGATTGGTTGGGTAGAAGTGTTATGCTACCGGTCGACAAAGGTGGATTGGGTTTAATAGATATAAGATTAAGGGTTAAGTGTATATATTTGAAGAGGGGGTTTCTCCGAGTGGAAGGTCGTGTGGGGAAGGGTGTGCAAGCATTATATGAGGAGGCACGAAGGTGGTGGGTAGGATCAGAGATGAGAGAGTGTGAGGATGTGCTGCGAGCTTTTTGGATGTAATAAACCCACCTGTATATGAAGCTGTGGGCTGTTTTTAGTTTAGTTTTTATGTATAAGTTTAGTGCTACGGTAGGGAATGTGGAGTTTTCTTTTGTTATATATAATGGATACGTTTCATTGCTTACATTGTCTACATGTATAACTGTGTATTGCGTTTTTCAATAAAATATAAAAAAAAAATATCTTTATTTCTACAAATACATGGTATACAGGCTTAGCTGACATCAATAACATACTTCTATATAGAAAGCCACTTTTATGCTGAGCATTTCGGGCAAATTAGGTATATTGTATGATTAGAGTCCATTGTAAGAATAGTGATAATTTAAGGTGTAAATGATTATGTATAACCCATGTGACTAACCTATACCCCGTGCTGGCCCCCTCAGGGTGGGCGAGGCTCTCAGGCACCTGCGAGGCCGCTGTGCTACACCAGCTCAGTGCTAAAGCATGTTAACCAGTACAGCCTTAATTAAGTTTCTTCAGTGGGGTAAGGTGGACGGACCAACGCTGAAGAACTCCTACAAGTTTAGTGCTTTCCGTGAAGAGCTCTTGATCCAAGGAATTGGCGCTGCCTTACCCTTCCTTGGAATAAGACTGATCGTCTTTCCTTTTTGACAGTTCTGGGCATGTTTTCCAGTATAATATGGGGTTAATTTTTTTGTCAACATTTACTTTTTTCCTGGAGCACAACACCGTCAGTATTATATTATAAATAGCAAAAATGGTATCTATACCACAGGAATATAGTCACTTGGCAGCAAGCAACTGTCACCAGTCGCACCCTCACTGTATTCCATCCTTCATCACTTCCTCGATGCACTATTGTGCACTTTTTCTCTACACTAGTGTAGGTACCAGTGTAGAATGGTTATTTACTAGTTCACTTTAAGTTCAGATAAGATTCAGTTAGCCACCCAGGATAATTCAAGAAAGTCAGTGCTTCATCAAGGATTGTCTTGTATCCATTGTGGGCCTACCAAACATTAATTAACATGTGGTTATTAGCTAAATCAATCACAGAGCTGGGTACCCCCATATTGTGCCCCGTGGCCTGGTGGCAAAGCTCTCGCTTCACACGGTGAGGGTTCGGGTCCGATTTCCGGCGAAGGTGTGGGATCATTGGACGTGTTTACACCTGCTGTACATGTTCACCCATCAGTAAAATGGGTATGTGGGTGTTAGTGGATTGGTGTGGGTCGCATCCTGGGACAAAACTGACCTAATTTGTCCCAAATGCCCTGCATAACAAGGGGCTTTCTATATAGTAAATATATGTCAGTATCAGCTAGGCCTGTATACCTTGTGCATGTACTTGTAGTAAATAAATTATTATTTTATAATAGATTTGTACCCCTGAGAGCTGGATACCCCTCCCCCCAGAGAGAACCATTCAAGACCCCAGTCTTGAAAGGTGGTGGTGCTACTGGTGGGGGTGACGGCGGCGATGATTGTGGTGGTGAAGTCTCTTGGCGTCTGCCGGGAGAGCATGTTATGCCTGCTCAACTCCCTTGTATCTGCGAAGTTCCAAGAAATGTTAAGGAGGGTGCAAATTTTTTTTAGGAGTGATAAAAAAGGAAAACTGAAAATTTTTTAATTTTCTTACCGAAAAATAGTACATAAATCTGGCAACATGTTGATGTAATTAGCTTGTTTCTATCATATTTCTAAGTATGCTTTTCCAAAAATGTTATTTTTTTTTGTTCTTGCTGTCATCAAAAAAGACATGATGACAACTCGTGTTTTTTTTTTCTCCAAAACTTACTCCATTCAAATTCAGGGAGTGATAACAGCTCAGTTCCCTGTGGGCTGTCAACATGTCGGGGTGTGCAACATGCTGAAATGTTGCACGCCATAACCATAGAGTTTTACAGAAAACATAATATACATGTATGTATAACTCGGGAATAAGTTGATGTTATTTTCCATTTTTAGCGAAAAGTATTTATAGGAGTCATGATTTTTTGCACACGTTATTGAGTAATGATGGTTCTGCTAACATGTAAAGGGGATTTGCGATTTTTTTGTTTTTACTGATTTTTTTCTTCCTAGAAAATCCTTATTTTATTGGGTGGCCCGGTGGCCTGGTGGCTAAAGCTCCCGCTTCACACGCGGAGGGCCAGGGTTCGATTCCCGGCGGGTGGAAACATTTCGACACGTTTCCTTACACCTGTTGTCCTGTTCACCTAGCAGCAAATAGGTACCTGGGTGTTAGTCAACTGGTGTGGGTCGCATCCTGGGGGACAAGATTAAGGACCCCAATGGAAATAAGTTAGACAGTCCTCGATGACGCACTGACTTTCTTGGGTTATCCTGGGTGGCTAACCCTCCGGGGTTAAAAATCCGAACGAAATCTTATCTTAAAAAAAAATAGTAAACTTGAGCATTTTTTATTATGACATTTTATTATTGACAATTTTCGCTCAAACGGGGTTAGTACCAAGATTATCTAGACCTTATCTGATGTTAACTAGAGCATTGTACATCTTACCAGTTTTGTAGACAAGGGAGAGTTTTATGCCCTATAGGCAGCGCTGTATAGCCCTTGTGGTTTAGCGCTTCTTTTTTATTATAATAATAGTATGCCCTATAGAATAGGGCACTATTTATTTTTTCTATCTTTTAAGGCCCCTCAAGGAAGGTTCCTTGATGTTGGTGAGGGGCTCTTGATTTAGGGAATTGGAACTGTGCTCCAGTTCCCCGAATTAAGCCTAAATGCCTTCCACATCCCCCCCCTCAGGCGCTGTATAATCCTCCGGGTTTAGCTCTTCCCATATGTATTCCTGTTAACCCTTTGGGGCCTAGTTCCTAGGCCTTTTGTGTATCCATATGCTCTCGCGCTACCGTCCACAGGATGGATATGGGGTGCACAATAAACTAGCCACTTCCTGGAGTTTACCTGGAGAGAGTTTCGGGGGTCAACGCCCCCGCGGCCCGGTCTGTGACCAGGCCTCCTGGTGGATCAGCGCCTGATCAACCAGGCTGTTGCTGCTGGCTGCACGCAAACCAACGTACGAGCCACTTCGGTGGCAAAATCTAAAAAAAATCTAATCCCCCTTGATTATAATAATAATATCTTTTAAGGCAAAAAGTCACTACAAAATATGTAGGCTTCAAATGCTGCTTAAATCACCGTAAAAATTTCGTTGAAATTGGACCAAAAATAGTTTTCGCTGGATAGGTTAGAGCAACAGCTTGGGTTTCCATACAGCGCGATGTGACCCTTGTGAGTTTATCACTGACTTTTAATTGTAATAATAATAAATGGGCTGCCATGGAAAGTTTTGATCCAGCAGAAACTGACTTAAATAAACCTTTTCTTTACTGATATTAATGAAAATAGCTTCCCATCTTAGGCATCTCCGGGAACAGGAGGGAGGGGGGGGGGGCTTAATATGATAAAATGATCTGATTTTACGTAATTGTATGTTCTGACTCAGCATAGAAAATAGTACCCCTGTTAAATTACCTGTTTTTAACTTTTAACAACTGAATTTGCTCTCCCTTTATTTAAATTACATGTTACAACTTTAAAGTTTGAACACTTATTTCAAGAACCTAGGTAATCTACACATATGCTAGTATATATGATAATTTATGTAACTGCATTTATGTGTACCTGAATAAAAACTTACATAGCATCTTGGGGTTGTTTTGAAGGTGTGTTAGTGGGGGTTGTGGTGGGGGTTCATCAGGGGTGGATAGGTAGGTGGGGGGGGGGGGGGGGGTCAACAGTGGAACACAACACTGCAGTTCATAGTTGCTTCTCTTCGTGTTTTATGCAGGTAAAAAATCCAAGCCTGTCACCTACTTAATCAGTTGCTTGTGGTTGTTTCAGTACATTAGTACTTCGTAGTCTGCTGTGTGACACAACAATGAAATTCATTGTGACTGTTGGGTTGTTAGGTACTATTTCATCACTATATTTTCGGTGCATGAGAATGTGATTTTTTAATCATCGGTTGTATTGTTGTATGTTAGTATGTCTTCAACCATTAAAAGCTGTTTTATTGTATTAGTCTGACATCGTTTTGGGTGTCCTGCAGTTCGATCACTAGGGACTCTGCTCACACACCGAGGTCCGTGGCTCGATCCCCGGTATGTAAGTTTATTCAGGTATACGCTTGCTCTTCATGGTACTCTGCCTTGGCAAAAGAAACTGAAAGACTGCAAATCACCCAGAACAAAATTGTAAGATTCATCCTGGGCCTGGGACCAAGAGAACATGTAGGCCAGAATGAATTACAGCAGTTGGATATGCTGAATGTTAAGACAGTAAAACAAGTGAAGCTAAATCATGTGTATAAAATTGCTCACAAACAGTGTCCAGAATATCTTGCTGTCAGTTTTGTCAAGGTTGGGAACCAAAGCAGTCATAGTACTAGGGGGAGAGAACACAACTTTGTAGTACCCACAGTCAGTGGCCAGGCTTCAAACACCTTTTATTGTACAGCAATAAATAATAATAATAATAATAATAATAATAATAATTATTTACTACAAGTACATGTACATGGTTTACAGTCCTAGCTGACAACAATGACATACTACTACATAGAAAGCCACTTTGTTATGCTGAGCATCTCGGGCAAATTAGGTCAGTGTCCCAGGATGCGACCCACACCAGTCGACTAGCACCCAGGTACCCATTTTACTGATGGGGAACATAGACAACAGGTGGAAAGAAACACGCCCAATGTTTCTACTCTGGCTGGGAATCGAACCCAGGCCCTCACCGTGTGAAGCGAGAAGAGTGCCAAAAGGTGTCTGATGAATGTAGCTACAGAAAAGGAGGGGAATGATTTTCTATTTTTTAGCTAACATAATGTAAATTTTACCTTATTCCTAGTAATGACCCTCGTATTGTAGATAGTCTTAATGACCCTCGTGTAGTGGATAGTCTTTTTAGTATGATAATAAGATGTTATCTTCATTATAGAATAATAAAAAAATATTATAACCTGTATATTATAATTATAAGGTAAAAGGACCCCAATGGAAATATGTCACACTGTCTGACTTTTCTGGGTTATCCTAGGTTCTCTACACATGCTGCTATGTATGATAATTCTATGTACCTGTATTTGTGTATACCTGAATAAACTTAAACAAATAGTTACATAAATTATCATACATAGCAGCATATGTGTAGAGAGCCTAGAATAACCCAAAAAAGTCAGTGACATGTTTCCATTGGGGACCTTTTAATACCTTATTATAATATAAATGAGATATAAAGGAGATAATGTCTTATTATATTATAAAGAAGATATATGTAGTACTAGGAATAAGGTGAAAAGAGTTATTTATATTTACTTGTGTGTTAGCAAAAAACTAAAATCATTCTCCCTTTCTGTAGCTACGTTCATTAGGCACCTTTTGGCACTCTTCTTGAACTGGTTCATGCTAAGACTGGCTTTGACATGTGCAGGCAGTCTGTTCCATTCCTTTATTGATGTACAATAAAAGGTGTTTGAAGCCTGACCACTAACTGTGGGTACTACAAAGTTGTGCTCACTCCCCCTAGTACTATGATTGCTTTAGTTTCCCAGCTTTGACAAAATTGGCAGCAAGATATTCTGGACACTGTGAGCAGTTTTATAAACTTGATTTAACTTCAGTTGTTTTACTGTCTTCAACATTCAGCATATCAATTTTTGTAATTCATCCTGGCCTACATGTTCTCTTGGATCCAGGTCCAGGATGAATCTTACCATTTTGTTCTGGGTGATTTGCAGTCTATCTTTGTTTTTTGTCAAGGTAGAGTACCATGAAGAACATAGTCCATATGACATTGTATAATGGCTAGACATAGGGTCCTGCGAGCCCCAGTAGGTAGACACTGTGCTTGTCTGTAGAGGAACTTCAGTCTGGCATTTGCTGTCTTTACTATCCTGTTCCATATCAATTCTTCTGTCATGCATGAGTCAAAAGGGATTCCCAGATATTTTGCTGAGGAAACTGAAGTGATGGGTTCCCCATTACACCAGACATTAAAATTGTTTGCCCTTCTCAGTTTTTCATGCCAAAGTGTATGGCTTCTGTTTTTCCAAGGTGTAACGATAGTTTGTTGTCTACTAACCACTTGCTGCAGGACTCCATTTCCAGTGTTATTACATTGTCTATATCTTGTGAGTCTTTACCTGACACTAACAGAGCATTATCATCCACATACAGTAGGAGTTTGCACTTGACACTGATGGACATGTCGTTTACATAACATAGGAATAATAAGGGACCCAGAATACAGTGGACCCCTGCCTTACGATCAGCTCCCAACTCGACCAATTATGTAAGTGTACTTTTGTAAGTGCTTTTGTACGTGTATTTTTGGGGGTCTGAAACGGACTAATCCAATTCACAATATTCCTTATGGGAACAAATTCGGTCTATAACAGCACCCGAACAGACTTCTGGAATGAAATAATATCGTAAGGCGGGGGTCCACTGTACTACCTTGGGGAACTCCACATGTTATCGGCTGGGGTTCTGATTGTGTTTTGTTGATTTTGACAATCTGTTTCTTGTTGTTAAGATAGGAGTTAAACCAGTCTATGGAACCTATGCTGATAGCTTGAAGTTTCTTACATAATATATTGTGGTTGACACTATCAAAGGCCTTTTGCAAGTCTGAGGTTGCCATTCCTATGAGGTTCACTATTGACATTTCAGTTCTCATGTAATCCATCAGATTAATTAAGGTGTCAGTTGAGTAAGATCTAAAGCTGGATTGGTAACTATGAAGAATGTTGTTGTCATTAAGTTACTTAACTACTTGACAGTACACTGCCCCCTCTAGAATTTTGGATATTACACTGAGTATACTAACAGGCCTATAGTTGCTGACAGGAGACCTACTATTTTTTTGAAGATAGGAGTAACTCGGGCCTTCTTGAACCCCTCCAGTACAGTATTATTGGTGATGGATAGATTTTTTACGTGACCATTGGGGATTGGCAATTCAGAGGCACCATCTTTTAGGAACTTAGATGGGATGTTATCTGGGCCAGTTCTCTTAGTTGGGTTTAACCTGCTCAGTTCTTTTGACTTTGTCAGTGGTCCAAGTCGGACCGAAACGTCGTCGTAAGCTTCTCTCTTTTATGTGGGGGTTATTTGTGTATCGTTCCAGTCACGGTATTTTGCCTTTTTGTTATTTATAAGATACACTTAACAGTTAATGACTGGGGTTACCCCTTTATTGGTATATTATGCTATAAACTTGTTAGGTCAATATTGTCCCAGGATGCGACCCACACGGGTTGACTAACATCCAGGTACCCATTTTACTAATGGGTTAACATGGACAGCAGCTGCCTTGAGGAAACACATCCTAATGTTATGTGCCATACTAGGTAATCTACCCCTGGACCTCAGAGTGCGAGGCGAGTGTGCTAGTGATTGAGCTGCTTGACACCTGCTGTCCCTGTTAACCTATCAGTAAAATAGACACCTAGGTGTTATTCAGCTGGTGTGGGGTCGCATCCTGGGGACAAAATTTACCTAATTTGCACAAAGTGTTCTGCCTGAAATATCAGCTAGGGCTGTATATGTACGTATTTGTAGAAATAAGGATAGTCTTCATTGTCATTATCATTCATCCTAGGTAGTTTACGCATGTTGCTATGTATGGTAATTTGTTGACTGTATTAATGTGTACTTATACCTCAATAAACTTACCCAGTCTGTGACCAGGCCTCATGGTGGATCAGGGCCTGATCAACCAGGCTGTTATTGCTAGCTGCATGCAATCCAACACATGAACCACAGCCCAGCTGGTCAGGTACTGACTTTAGGTGCTGTATGACCCTTTCCAGTTTAGTGATTAACATGCCCCTTGGAATTCTCTTAAGAGATTTGTCTTAGGAAGTGGACCTACCTCTTGGATTGAACCTTATAGACCCTAATTACAGCCTCTCCTTACTTAACGACAGGGTTCCGTTCCTGAGAGTAGGTTAGTAAGTGAATTAGTTGTTTATCGAGGAGCATACTATACTGGTAGTGGGTTTGTGTCGACCACCTTTAAATACTTGAATGTCACCTTTGCACCATTTATAACATTTCTATTATATTTTTAAGTGTTTATACAGTAGTGTACTGTATACTGTAATAAACAGAATAGAGGAAATCAGCTCTAATATGCACATTATTTAGGTGTGCATACTGGTCATAAGTCTGAGTGGTCAGTAAATGAGTACGTCGCTAAGTGAGGAGAGGCAGTGTGTTAAGAGATACTTGAGCATGGAGGTGGTGGTTAGTGTTAATACTGCTGTGGATGGAGCATGGTGTCGTGTCCTCATCTGGAACTGTAATGGTGCTTAATCCATCATGGTTGCATCTGTAGATGTAAGATAAGATTTGTTTGGATTTTTAACCCAAAGGGTTATCCACCTAGGATAACCCAAGAGAGTCGGTGGATCATTGAGAACTATCTTATTTTCATTGAGGTCCTTCAGTCTTGTCCCTCAGGTTGCCAACCACACTAGTCGACTAACACCCTGGTAGGCTGCACTCTTGCTTCGCAAACTGAGTGTCCATGGTGTTAATCATCTGGTGTGGGTCACATCCTGGGGGATGTGAGGATTGAGGACCCCAGTGGCACTTTGGCCTCCAAGATGCTGGGCAAATTTGAGACTTATTTTTGGGAAAAAATTGCTTTTGATGCTGTAAAATCCAGTAATTCTCGTGGTTTAACCCAGTTCCTGTCTATTTTGCTAATATGTCTTCCATACTATTCATTGATCACATTCAACTCTTAGAATTACTCTATAAATCACTCAATTCAGTG